CCCCCAAGAACCCCCCGCAGGAAGCGCATGGGGTGGAGAAACGGGGGGACAACGCAGAGATTGGCGGGGTCCGGCGGTGTCCGAGGGTCAGGAAGCGGAGAGCCGGGAATGGTCCAGGGTTCAAGGAAAGGACCGGGATAGGCGGGATGGGGGATCCAGGGGGTCCCTGTGCCCAGGAACAGGGGGTTCCAGGGGTCCCCGGTATTGAGGGAAGTGGGGTCTCGGGGCTGGGAGAGGCAGGAATGGGGGTGCAGGGAGTCCCGGGATCAAGGAAAAGGGGGAATCCAAGAGCTGGGAATGCCTGAGAAGGATTGCAGGGGTGTCCCGGTGCTGGATAAGGGGGTTCAGGGGGTACCGATGACCGGAAATGGACGTTCCAGGGGGGTCCCAGTACCCAGGGATGGGGGTTCAGGGGGGTCCCGGTGCCGGGGCAGTCACCGGGCGGATCCCGGTGCCGCAGTTTGGGAGACGCGAAAGTGACCGAGGAAGCGCGGGGAGAACGGGGGATGGAGGGAAAAGGGGAATTCCAGGGAATTCATCTGGATCCCACGGGATCCCCGCCGCTTCGACACGCGTGGGACTCCGTGACAACCACTTGGGACCCCTCCAGGACCCACTGGAGCCCCATCTCAGGAAAAGCCGGAGATAGAGAACTGGGCGAGGAGGGACCCGGAAATTCGAGAGATCTGGGGAGATCAAAGGTCGAGGAAAAGGGCGGGGCTGGGGTCTGCAAGCGGGGGATGCCCGGGAAGGGGGTGCAGTGATGTCCCAGTGCCGAATAAGGGGGTGCAGTGGATGCCCGCGGCCGGGAATGGGGGTGCAGGAGAGTCCCAGGGTACTGACAGGGTTAAAGGTGTGTCCCTGTATCCGGAATTAGAGGTTCACGGGGGTTCCCGTGCCCAGGAATGGGGGTTCAGGGGGTCCCGGTGCTGGGGAAGAGGATACAAGGGGATCACGGTACCAAAAATGGGTGTTCAGGGGGGTTCCATTCCCGGGAATGGAGGTTTCAGGGGTTCCCGGTGGCCGGAAATGGAAGTTCAGAGCTGTCCCGGTGCTGGGGAATTGCTGTTCAGGGGGGTCCCGGTGCCGGGGGTCCCACTCACCTCTCGTCGCTCCCCCCGGGGCCCCCAGGAGCGCCAGGAGCCCCAAGAGCACCCCCAGACCCGGCGCTGGAGCCATCACAGACCGATC